TCATTATGTTTGCATCAACTGTTTCACATGGAAACTATAGTTACACGCACGAGAAAAAGACCTGCAGGGGAGAAAAATGAAGTGTTAGAACAGGAAGATGTGTGAGTGTGATGTGAGAAGTTTGTGCCCAAACAGCAGATGTTTACTATCTTGTAATTTTCTTTAGCAGAGTCAGGTTGTGCTCTCCTTCCTAGAGATAGTGACTCACATTAATACAACTGCTTGGTGGAACAAAACACCACAGATTGATTGGGCACACATCAGCAAAAATATGTTTTCCCCTGAAAGTCGCATGATGTCCACTCACACGAGACGAGATGAGAATGCATCATAAAGCAGAAGCAATAAAGCCCTTTGTGTTTGTGTATTGACTTACATAGTGCAGCAGTGTAATACATTGTGTTTTTTCTATGTGTGGTTTTCATGTGGTTGGCGCAGCACTATACCACGACATATAATGACAAATGTTTGCAGCCGGATTAGTGCTGTGATCCTTCAACAAACATCAGAGAAATAGTTTTGTGTATCTATCTCCCTGTAGTTCTGTTTGACAGCTGTAGTATATTAGCACAGGGACCGCTGATTTACTATGCTGATGATAACACACTGCAGTCGTACTTCAAACAAAGAGTCCAATGACACTGATCCAGACACTAGGTCTGACTTAATCAGTGACAGCTGGTGGAGGATCTTCTAGGGGGGCATTTGAAGGCCTTGTGTTGGCTGTCAGGTATCATTGGCAGGTACTTGATGGCTGTGACGACAACATTTCTGCCTGCATGCAAAGTTAATACATTCAAAGCATCTAAAAAAGTGGTTTGAAATGTTATGTATTATTTGCCAATTATTGACAGTAAAATATGTTTGGCTTCGCCTTCAATGCTGTTTCCAATTCTCTGAACATTCATGCGTTAAGCAGGCTAGAAAGATCATTTTATATTAACAATTTCAACTCAATCAAACTGACCAATAATATGACAGGGCAACTATTTCCTGTAATGTAATGGAAGTGTTCTTGTCTTATATTCTTTATAACATTACATATTCAGGTCAGGACTCCCTGGAAGAAGAGATCTTGTATCTCAATGGGACATTCCTGGATAAATAAAGGATAAATAAAATAAAATAAAATATTTAAAGAAATTGTTGAAGAGGATAAAATTGAAACATAAAAATTGATCTCTCATCTCTCAAAAGATCTGCTTGAGGAGTGTTTGGGTTGTGGTGAATCATTGTTGATTGACAGTGAAATCACCATGGCAACAAAGAAAACAAACCTAAACAAATGTGTTTTCTGATTTTTCCGCTGAGTCTGATATAACTTCTTGTTTACTGTATAAATTACTTTTTTATGCAAAAATGTTTCCACAACATGACATTAATTGATGTGAAAATGTCAGTAATGCAAAACAGTTTTTTATTTGAATAGGTAAAAAATAAATAATTCACAAGTGTGAAATCTAAATGTACTGCTGATTAAAGTAGTACGCATCTTATATAAGGGACAGCCATCTTTTGTGTACTTGTTCACCTTCATTAGAGGTTATGGTCATGAGAAGTGAACTATCTCAGATGAATTAAAGAGCTTCATTTTGAAGGGTTTTTAAAGGCCTATGGAGGTACAAATATAACCCAAAAAAAACAAGGTATTCCTATATTGTTTTTACTGATGCTGATACATCACCTAATCCAATTCAAAGTAGCAGGATCACACATACAATAATATATTGTAAGTATATCAAATTGAAAGGATCTTAAAGAAAAAGCTGATTAGGAAAACAGGTTTCAAGGTCCTTTAAGCCAATGTTAACCAGGGAAAATGCTAGATCGGTAAATAAACAACCTGTCACTTTGCATATTTTACAAAGAACCAAGTCAAATACAGTGCAAATTAGATCCTACAAAGGGGCCGAGGGAGACGCAATGTAAAGGGGGTATTTACGTTGGGAGATACCTGCTTCAGAAAATTCAAATATTGAGGTTTTCGACTAGGACATGTTATCAAAGGCACACACTGTTGAAAAGGTGAACAAAACGGCTTTAATTTAACATGCAGGTAAGGGAAAAGCTCAGTGATTCTCATTGCTTTGGAAAATGGACGGCAATAATGCAAAGTATATAGAATTGTTCACTCCCCTTCAGGGACCCATCATGCACTGTGCTGTCATTTACAGTGGCATTTTTAAATGTCACATGTCCACAAGGCACAGGATGTGACTTGACAATGTGGTAAGCTGATGCATGTTTTTTAGCAGCACAAGGCCACTTTGCATTTCCCGGCATTAGCAAATTATTGAGCTTTGGTGGTTGATTTGTGGAATTTCGGTTGGACATTCAGAGATAAGAAGGAAGTTTGAAGTGTCATGAACTGTTCCCCTTTCAGCTTTCCAGAGTGACATCATTGTGAAGATGTATGACTATTATTTGATGGGCAGGTTTTAAATAACACAGCAGTCACAGGAAACATTCCTTACTGTCTTAAAAGGGCTTTATTTTTGACAACTGCGTCAAATCCAACGGAATGAACTCTTGAATTTAGGTCCGGCTGTATCTCGTCTCTCACAAAACAACCTGTGTTTGTCATGCCCCATGCTGTCAGCATCCATTGTGTGTGAGCTAAGGAAGTGACTGTCAGCTGTACCCGACAGTGGAAGTCTTTACAAGCACCTGTAGTATGTTTCTTTTCCATTATAAGGTGAAACAAAAATGGAAAATTATAATATTTGTTGTATTGTACACATAAATTACACACATAAATTACAATGACACTGTGTAGCTTATGAGTTAGCCACTCCTCTTCCATAAAATGGGATGATGACTTTGATGTGAGATAGAGATGGAGACGTGCTTCAAGGCCACATCTCACTACTGAATGCCAGTTGACCATATCAATATTCCTCAGGCTGCTGGGCGTGGAACAGGAGTGATTACTGCAGAAATCACATGTCTAACATCACCAGGGGAAAACAAAACATAAAATGAGTTTCATTTTGAGTCTCCTCTAAATATGATAGTAAGTTGTGTGCCCTTCTCATGTACTTTCAAGTGTTCCCGTTTTTAACAAATAAATGAATTCCCATTTTTCCACATATATGACAGGAATTGTGTGCCATAACTGTCTAGTTCCAGTTTTTCTGAATTAAATTCATTTAGTCTATTTTATGCAAACATATTCTTTTTTTTATACCACAGCATGATACACTTATGTATTTATTTTCACTCAAATAAAACCTTACTTCTATTGCCCAGTAAGGTTTATTTTGGGTTTGTTGTTTTTGTGTGGGTGTGTACATACATGTGTAGGCCTATGCCAAGTCAGAGGAAGGATGTTTGTCATTATGTGGCTGAACAAACAAGTTGACCTAATTGTTCTGTATTACGTGAGAAAATTACAGTAAACCAGGGTACAGTAATAATTCAACTGTTTTATGAAGTTATTAGGCTAGCGCTACCAATAATCTCTATTAGTGCCTTTTATTCTTTGAACTGAAGCAATGTTGTTGTGCTCACACAATGAGAATCCAATTTGTAAATCCTGAATCTTGATTCTTAATAATTTCCTACCTGAATGTGGCTCACTCACATGGTATGGAACAAGTTGTGATTACCTTCTAATCGACACCCATTTCTGCATTCACACAATACCTCTTAGGTGCTACCACACCCTGTTTATTAGTGTTTAATCCAGAGAGTACAATGGGTTTACACTCAAATGTCAGACCAATACTGAGCAAGAGCTCAAACTGGTATTTCACTATACATTACCACAGGTATGAACTATGGGGGAAACAATATAGGTGGAACTATGAAAATACTTGAGTTTCCTTGTTCCCCTTTTATGTCACGAGAGAAATAAATAGGTGGAGACGCAATGGTGGATAAATTATTTATGATACATAAGTCTCAAAGGAAAATGTCAGGACCATTTCTTTAACTGTTATATTAACTGTCACTATTGCCCATGTCTTACTGAGTTGTAGTCTTATTTTATACTGCAGGTTAACCATCTGGCCAAAATGCAAAAACATGTAGTCTGCTGCCCTCTAGTGAATAAAAGCCCAACTCTGTTTTTCATGCACCTTCGTCGACTTTGGATTGACAGGCAATCATGTAATATGACAGCTGATCATGAAACCATCTCTATAACACATGATACCAAAAGAAAAGAAAAGTGGTACAGAAACATTTCCAAATGTGCTTAAAATATCAATTAAGTGTGTTTTTTACCAGGAACATTTTCATTAGATTTAAAACTAGTTTACAAGGGTCCTTACCAAGAAAGCAACATAACATGTTGTAAACTCTACTTTCTCAAAGTAGACCAAGCCAAAAAACAATCAAACATATAACATACTTATAAGTTCAGCAACAGGTAGCATTAGAAAAAAACTATATTTACTCAGTTACTGTACTACAATTAGTAGGTACTTGGTCTTAAGTACATTGCTACTTCATAGATAGGAAAATATTATACTTTTTTTTCAAATACATTAAGTTGACAGTTATAATAACAAGTTACCTTAGAGGTTAATATTTTAAATACAAAACAATAATGATCTTCAGCAACAACACATCAATGTGTTCCATAATAGCGATAATTCAACGCTGTGAAGAAACTGTTTACCTTGTTTAATGTGAACATCACTAATTCGTTACGTAGGTTTCACTTCCAATGAACTAATCAATTATGAGTTTATTGGGCTATTTCACCTACCTAAAGGCCCTAACCTAAGTTCGTTTATCCTGCCCTGAATTGACATTTGCATTACTATTTGGATCACCTGTCTACAGGTAGCATGATGTACAGCTAGTAAAAACGTCATTGAGCATTGTTTTAAATTGTGTAAACCTATACTGTTTAATAGCACGGTTCTGTTTTACTACGATATGAAACGCACAGGTGTTTTGGTAGTAAGTGAATAAAGCAACAGTGTGGATGCTGCTCGGTGCGGCTGTTGCTGGGAGCTCCGGCCAATCAAAGCCGCAGCGCTGCCATACAAGTACTTTGGGGGCTGGAGAAGCATGACATCATGCACAGCCCCATCCCTCCCTGCGAAAACAAAGAGTAAAACATATTTATTTCACTACTCCAAACAACAGTCGACGACACAAGCGTCTGCACTGTGATACCCCGCGGGCCCGTCCTTAAAACCCACCTGGGATCTGGCCCTGGTGCTCCGGCGTGTGCAGCGGAGTCTGGGAGGGGCATCCGTCCGCACGTCCGGGTAATGGCGGATGGGGAAGCCACCGTGTCTGTGGAGTGGGACAGCAGTGATGGGGGCTTAGCAGAATAACATCCCACTTCTGCGTGTCTATTTTCTCTGTTTAGCTTGGTATTCAGCTCTCGCCATGGATCCAGAGAAAACGTTGACATTCTGCCTCGGGCTGAAGGCTGAGGAGGTAATGCACATATTTCCTTTGATGCACACACACTGCCAACAGCTGGGCTTCAGTTATTGTGCAGAGCAACATGCTTTCCAAGGTCTGTGTGTTGTTGACAAACAGTGGCCTCAACTTGTTCTGTAACCATCTGTCTTTCATGTCTTCATCTTGAGATGTGTTATCTGTTGACATGTATCGAGGACAAAGGGGGCATTTTTTTTGCACCACTGCAGCAAATGTTTGGTTTCCAGTAAAGTCTGTCAGGTATGCCTTTTAATTTGGTTGTTTGTGCTCAATGTTAAGGTTTACTGTGAGAGCTCTAGGTAATGCATAACATTGGATTATAGGTTTTTAGAAGCATGGGTCCTCTAACGCACAACTGATGTCCTGACAGATATACTGTACTAAAATGTCCTGTAAGGTCATTATCTCTAAACTAAGAGCTACCACAGAATTGCACTTTTTCTTGTAAAACTATAGGAAAGTTATGAGTTGGATATTTATGATTTCAATAGCAGGTTGTAACTTGTTGATAAGACCGCAGTTAGATTTCAAGTTAATTTCTTGTTTGAAACGGAATAGCATATTAAATCTGCCGTAATGCACCAAAGATTTCTTTTTAATTTATGCATGTCATTGAAAGAGCTTTGTCTGCCAAACCCTTGTAGCCTCATAAATCTATGTACAGCTGCTTGTCCAGCACAAGAACAGCACAATGCTGAATTAGGACACTGCTGGCTCCACACTGAGGATGATGTTTCCTTCTTTCAAGTCTGTTGTTGTCGGAAAACTTGTAGGCTTACACAACTGTATTTATTACAACAACATGAAACCTTAATTGGTTTACATCTATTTGAAGGATTTCAAGAAATCTGCTGTATGTTAAGCCAGTGTGCCATATAACAAAAATATTGATAACATCTGACAATAAAAGTCCTGTGGGGAGATGTTGTTATGCTTGCTTTAATATCATTGTTAATATTAAGTACAGTATTGCCTCAGCATAATATTTCACCAAGGAAGAGTGCAGTGGTTATCTTTATTGCATTTAGTCTGACAATAAAAGTGAAAATCTTAAAACATGATGATTACAATGGTTTGCCTGAAGTCCCTTTACCTCACCTTAATCGCATCTTATTTCCATGCCATCTTTATAATACAACATCCATGGCATCGTGTTCATGACAAAATTACGTAATGGCATGTTTTATTTGCATGTTCACAATTTACTGTGACTTGACTTAAGGCCATTTGACAGAACTTTGAATGTTTTCTTATATCCTGCAGTCTTTAGCAGTGCTTCTCCATTCGATCTCCCCTCACTCATGATTTGTGGGTTTTCAGGTGTCAGGAAAAGGCTGACAGGTTTTAAGTCATTTAGTGAAGGTTTGTATGTGTGTGTGGTGGTACTATGGTAAACCTTGGGACCCCAGGGGTGGAAATAATTTGTGGTGAGTCTGTGGTCTCTGGGGAAGTCTGAATGATCACTTCACACCCGTGTGCGTGTACTCTGTGCCGTGCGGTGGATTTACCACAGGAACTCTGCTCCCTCCTGAAACCCTCTTGACTCTGACTTGCATAACCGTACAAAAGCTTACTTATGAACCTCCTGAGGTTATGTTTGACAGGCAAATATGCAGCATGACTTCTCTGCTGGCCTATGCAGATAGACACATTTTGCAGGATATCTTATTTATCTATGATTAGTTTTAGCAAAGTTAATACAAAAAATAGCTCTTGTTGAACAGTTGATTGTCAGTAGGGATGTCATTGATAAACCTGAACTCTGGTATTTATCAGACCTCAATACTTGTTTGGTATCCTCTAAAATGTGTCTGCAGCACAGAATATTTAAAATCCCCAAGTAGCCAATCCAAAGTTTGTATGCTTTGATCATATTGTGTGTTGTTTAAATGGTAATTTTTAGAATATGTCATGAAGGAAGGTTATTGTCAGCCCTTTGGCTTATAGTGCTACAAAGTTACATTAGTTTGAAAGAATATAATGTATCTCTCAAAGAAAGAAATCAACAAAATGGTATTTAGGTAAAACACCTAAATACTATATTGCTAGTATCGGAAATCGTACCCAGCTATAGATGCACTGCCTGTGAACATCATGTGTTCATGGTCACATGTCGCTGCCAGCATCCACATCACTTTCCTGCAGAAGAGTCATTGTCAGTTTGTCTCATGCTCCACCTTCATGTCCTTGCTCTTTCACCACTGTCATGCGAAGTTATGTCATGCATTTTATATAAACCTGTAGATGCACAGGTGTTGCTGATGCATATGAACAGTTGTATATGATATATTTGATCAAATGTCATTGTCTCTAGGCTAACTAACAGCTACTATTGTCATTTAAACAGCCTCAGGGTAGTGTGTGGAGTTAGCTTCGTGTCACATTTGGCTCATTTTCATTTTGCACTTTGTAAAAAGACAATAGTTGTAACTCAGAACCTGTAGCACTTTGTGTGTATGTGTGCATGAACACACTGTGCAGCCAACATTGTTCCTACATTGACTACATAATCAGCAGGCAGCTGTTAACAAAAGCATCAGTGATATGGCTGCAGCCCCAACTGTCTCACATTGTTTCTGGCAGCGGCCCAGCCCCACATCCAGCAGCACACACAGGGATACAATCCTTTTACTCACTGTGGACAGAGGTGACACAGAACCTTTTTCACTATGTACCGAATTGCACTGGGCGAATGCACATATGGTATTTATTTCCTTTGTAGATAGTATGCAGACTCAAGTCAATATATGTTTATTCATTAGTTTTCCTAAAGGTAGGTCAGCCTGTGTGATTTTTTTTATAGGTGTCATTGCCTGAGATGCTACATCTGTCAAAAATACCCTCACGAGGCAAACTGATACTCTTTTAAAAGGACCAGATGCTTCATACAGTATGTGACTGATTTTAGTGTAGGAATGCTTTGTCAATCAACATTTTAATAACTTATTTATCATGCTTTTATCAAGTCTTTTGTTTGTCTTGCTTTTAAATACATGAATATCTTTGGGCCTCTATGTTTTTGCAAATTGAACATTTCACCTTGGGCCTGCTTTGCTTTTCTCAATTTTCTGACATATTTTAGATTAAACGCTGAATTTGAATGGTCACAGTTTTAGAGCTGTAGCTATTGCATGTATGTGTGTGTTTGAAAGAGAAAGGGAGAGTGTCTGGGAATTGGTGCCATCTGTCTGCTACCTCGGCCCACAGAGGAGAAATAGGTTTTGTTAAAAAGCCATTGACCTTCCCAGCTCCTTGAGGAGCCGAGTGTTGGGTAACCTGCGGATGGAAACTGCTTTTAGTGGCCTTTTTTTTTCATGCCCGAGTACTAGAATGACAGCACAATATATGGGTTGTTTGTGCCCTTGTCTGTAATCATACAGTGCCATACTTCGTATCATTTCGTTGTCGTTTACATCATATTATTCCTCTCTGTTTGGCTCCTTTTTAACCATTGGCTCTCTGCCTTTTTCCAGATGACCATGTCCCTGCAGGGCCTGGATGGCACTGAAGCTGCTACGGTAGGGAGCGTGACCTTCAACCACTAAACATTTCAAACACTAGATAATATAAAACATTGTCCACACATGAGTAAAAAAAGCCTCCAAGCTTAACCACAGTGGTTGCTATGGCAAATAATAATAATTTGTTAGCACTTCTCAGCCTCATATGTGGTAACTATGTACATAACAGATATAGCAACCAACCTGTTCTTGCAGCATTATTACTGTCGCGTCTGAGCTCCTCTAGACTCTTCTCGCCATGTATTGAAATGTTTTTATGATGTGTCCAAAATATAATATTGAAAGTATGGCTTCAGATCTTCTCTCTTTAGCACTGACCTGCTAATGAATAAGATGTAATGTTTTAATTCACAGAGGGCTTTCCATTTCTCTTTTTAGGTGGCTGTTTCCCAGAAGGAGCGCACAGTGAATAAGGTGTGAGGTGTTTTTTTATTAAACCACAAACTGTAGCCACCATCTTAAAGCTGCAGTAATTAATATTTCCATGCAAAAATTAATTAAATGTGTAATGTGAAAGGGGTCACTTGTAGCAAGCAGCCCATAGAGAATTATCAGCCACCATGAAGCATTACAGAATCATATAGTCAAATCAGGCTCATGTCAACACAGTTTCAAACTAACACAGGCAGCTTTATTCACCAATAATCTCTGGGACCAGTATCACAAAGATATTTTAGACTAAGTCCTTTTTTATTCAGAATTCATTGTACCGTTGTCTTGCTTAACAAGACAAAAATAATCCAGAAATAATCTAAAGGCTGACTATTTGTGACATCTAGTCAAAGTCTTTCTTTGTGAAACTGATGATGCCACTGTACACTACCTGCACAGACAAAATGTGTGACTATCTTGTGAACCTAATCGAGCATTCAGCTACTTAAGAGACACATATTTCCCTTATGAGTTGGAGGCCAAAACAGAGCTATAATACAGATACAGTATAGATTGTATTGGATTTATTTATCAGTTGAACATGGTCATGAAATGAATGCTAATGTTACTCTAACATATCGGCCACAGTTTATCAATAATATGTCAGTATATACAGCTTATTGTGCCACCTGGGATATAAAAGTCAGATTGAAGAACTACCCTCTTTCAACCCCCTCTCATGGTCTTCATGAGGAGATGGAGTTTTCTCAGTAGTCACAACGATGGCTTGATTGTCATAATTTGACTTAAGTACGCACCCTCCACTCTTCGTCCGTAGGACTTCTCACCGTCCCAAGCTATCGCCTCAAAACCATGGGTGCTCGAGCTTTCAGCTGCTCGGCTCCCAGACTCTGGAACTCCCTGCCACTACACATCCGACAGTCTGATTCCATAACAACATTCAAAACCCAACTCAAAACCCACCTGTTCAAACTGGCATTTTCTGTATAATCTGTACCCTGTGTCCCTTTGTGTCCTTTTGTAGTCAATTTCCCGTTGTTTGTCTTGTCTTACCCCGGCTGATACTTCACTAAATCCACTGTTTTAAATTGTAAGGTAAAATTGTAAATGTAAATTGTAAATCTGTAACCCTGTAAGGTGTCCTTGGGTGTTATGAAAGGCGCCCCCCAAAATAAATGTATTATTATTATTTGGGTTAGGCGATAGAGTGGTCATATAAAGATGAGATTGAAACCCCTGTGTCCGTTTAAAGATGGTGTAAGATGTTAATGGCCGCCTGTTCTGTCCTGACCTTATCTTCTGGTTAAAAGCCTTGAAAAAAAAGAAGCGGATTTCAGGTCAACAGTCATATTACATTTGCATGGTTTGAAAGGTCCCTGCGCTCATACTTTTCAAAAGGAAACCATAGTCACACCAACTATTGAACTTTAGCAGAAACATCATTTTCTCTGTGGTGATATGTGATGCTTTGTTTTGTCCACTAGGTGGTGAAGCATCACGGGGGCTCAGGTAGCCAGCCTGGTGTCAGCCCCAAGTACTGTCCAGGGGTCAACAACAACCCCGGCTACCTGTGTGAGACGGGGCACTGCTGCGGAGAGACGGGATGCTGCACCTACTATTATGAACTCTGGTGTGAGTCACCTGACTTTACTTCTTCTCTACTGTGTTACTGTAACAAGGTCACGAGGCCAAGGCTGCGCTCTATCACATGTATTATTCAGTCCTGCCAGGATGTGTTAGGTGAACTGCACACAAAACAATCAGATTTTACTCACATTTCCATTACATTCTTCAACATATTAATTGGATTTATGGAGCATTGAATGGATTTATCAAACCAGCATATCCAGACAAAATGTAAATTAAATAATCCGACGTAATAAATGTTGTGCATTTAATGTTATGAATTTATTTTCAAATGAATTCAGACAGACACCATGAGTCAGTTTTAAAATGTCGAACATCTCTCTTGCAGTGATGAACTTGTATTGATATAATTGTCTTCTATAACACATTTAACCTATATATGTCTGTTACATTCTCAATTATGAAACATTTAGGTTTACCTAATTGATAGGCCCTTTTGAGCTTTTCCATTCACCCTTCACATTAACTTTAGTTGTTGTTATTGGTTTAATCTTAACTTGTATCTAAAAATGCTTTCAGGGTTCAAGAAATAAACACTAGGAAGCACCAAACTACAGTGTTGGGCTTCATGTTGCAACACTCTCTAGTTTAATCTGATCATACAGTCAGATCACAGCATCAAATATTTGGAGATTTAAAGAAAAAGTTAGGGGTTAAGTAATATGATGTTGTTGAGGATTTATACTCTACTCCCCAGCTGTACGCTGATTAAAACCACTGAATTTCTAAGTGGTATGTACTTAGGAATTGTTAATTTTTTTAATATTCATATTAATTATAAACATCATGGTCAAATGAATGCAAACAAAGCAAGGAAATTCGTCTTAAATCTTAAGGTTTTCTTTGCAAAGCTTACAGTAGTAATGTAAAACGTTAAAATATTTTTACGTGATGGCACAACATATCCAAAACCACCATTATTATCGCCTCTTATTTGAATAGATCTGAGATGCAATTTCAAACAACAGAACAGATGATTTGTTGTGTTCATATTGATCTTTGATTATTGTTGGGCTCCCGTTGTGTGCAGGGTTCTGGCTGCTGTGGACGATGCTGATCCTCTTCAGCTGTTTCTGTGCTTACCGCCACCGCCGAGCCAAGCTGAGGATCCAACAGCAGCAGAGACAGAGGGAGATCAACCTGATCGCCTACAACGGAGCCAGCAACTACCCTTCCTCCATGCTTGACCTCAGTAGGTTCTTTTATTCATATTATCATTATTTTTGATGGTGTATTTCTGCTGTCAGGGGAACTGCAGAGTCAGAGACTTTTAACATCAATGCTGCAAAGAAAAGTTGGAACAACATAAAGCTATTTGATTTTGATGAGCAGTTGGCCACTGGTTTTTACTAAACGACCATCTAACAATAATATTTATAGTGCATTTGTTCGACAACTTGTTTCTCGAAAGTTGGGAAATATATAATATAAAAAATGTTGGTGAGTTAGTTATGTGGGATTGACTAAAGAAAATACTGTGCCCATGTTAATGAGGAAGCATGTGAGATATTTCTCATTGGTGTGTTTTAAATAGTTTTTGGTCACTAAGGAGGTATGGATCCACAGGCAGTACTTGTTAGTAAGTTACACTCGTTGTTGTGATTTATGTCAGATGCATATTAAAAACTGTCTCTCCAGTCTTGTAGCATACTTCACATTTGAGCTGATGTGTGACATTTCTTTCGTCTCAGGTTTTCTGGCATCCTTCAAGTTGCCTTCCTACGAGGAGGTGGCGGCGCAGCCCTGCACTCCTCCTCCGCCTTACAGCTCCGTCTTCGCCCTGCAGGGAGGAACCATGGGGGGTCCTAGCTCCTCCTACGCTCATTACCACCACCACCGTCACCCCTGCCCTCCCTATCTGGGCCCCGGCCCCGGTCCCAGTGGCCTGACTTCCTCCCAGAGCTCTGACAACTACACCAGCTGCTCCTGCGAGTCGTGCTCCCTCACCTCCCCCTCCAGCAACTCCTTCTCTCTCCAGGTGACAGACGAGACGTACAGCAGCCACTTCTCCACCCCCAGTGAAGCAGGGTGCGACTGCGCCGTCATGCCGAGGCTCGGGGCCAACTTCACTCCCACTTCTTCTACGACACCTCCTTCACAAGTTCCACCTGATGTTATACCTGCCGCCGCCCCAGATGTCATACCCATACAGAGAAGGTCCCCTAACGGCAGTGAAGGGGTCCCGCTGCCATCTCTCTCTCTCCCTCTACACTCTCGTCCTTCACACCCTTCTCGCCTGCCACTTTCTCCCCTCATCCTGTTATCCTCCCTCTCTCCTGGTCAAGTCCATCCTCTTCTCTTCTCAGACCCACTTGGAGCCATTCAGAGAAGCAGAAAAGAAGAGGTCCTGCCTCGTGGTCCGCCCCCCAGACCCGCTCTGTCCCCCCCTAAACCGGCTCTCTTTGCTTCAAATGTGGCTGATTTAACATATTACAACAACAAAAAAGAGGAGCAAAAACGAGAAGAGGAGGAAGAGGAAGAAGAAGAGGAGGATCATTTCCGGCATCGCAGGCTAACGGGTGACTCGGGCATCGAGGTATGTCGTTGTCACGTGAAGAGAGAAGAGCAAGAGGAGGAGGAACTGCAGAAAGGGCATTTTTGGAAAGGAGGAAGAGAGGCTTTGCAGGAAGAGGAGAGGGCAGACGTGCTGCACGACAGCATGGACTGCTCCCTGAGAGCGAGGGCTGCCGCTCACTCACCGCTATCTGAAGACTGCGCTGAACAGCGAGGCCTCGTCTCCTCATCCCGTAGAATCCTCCAGAAGACGTGCGAGGCCATCATCACTGTGGAGTCCTCGTAAGCTGACAGCCAGATGTGATCCAAAAGAGAAAGAAGTGAGATGAAAATGCTTGATAGCATCTTCATGGATCAAGACTAGTAGGTGAAAAGTCACTGAAGAAAAGTCTTGCAGGTCTTACTTTAATGGTTGGAGACGGGATGAGAAATGAAACCTCTTGTTTTCTCTGTATTTAAATGAGAAACTCCCAGAGAAGCCGACACCTGAAAACCCTTTTTTTAAGTTGATTTATTTATGGTTTCGGAAAAGGCATATCTTATTCTCTGAAGTTATGAAAAATTCTAATGAATTGCTCTTTCCCCATCTCCATTTTCACTAGTGGCTCAGTGTCATATCTCGATGTCCCTTTACTGTTTAACATTGCTAAAAAAAAAACGTTTAGCTCCATAGAAACAACATGCCTAATAGTCAGTGGTTCCCAGCCTGGTGGTCAGGACCCCTCAAGACGTCTCCGGATAACTCGAGGTGTCTTGACGACTAACCGTGTAAGAAAGTAGAAACATATTGTTATGATAAAGAAAAAACGACATAATGCTTTATCTAATATCTTTTTATGTGAAACTATTAACAATTTTTTATGCACTTCAAAGTTGTTCAATAACACAATCGAGAGGCAAACATCTATCTTTAAAGGGCCTGCTTTAAAAGTCTTGGTGTGAAATGTATGAGGGGTCCACACATTAATATTATTTTATTTTAAAGGGTCACACACACCACGGTTGGGAGCCGCTGCCTGATAAAGCATATTACTCAAATCATCTCAGCAGCAATGAAGAAGACTGTCTATCATCAATTTACATAGTTTTAAATTGAGGACAAATTATATTCTAGAAGTTTATGAAGTTAAGTCACTCAACAAATTATTTTCAAAAGAGCAGCTCTAATTTATTGTGTCTCTTGATCCTGTTATATAATCTTAATTCACTGGATCCTATCTTTTGAAGGAGGTTCACAACTATTGAATAGTTTGAGGTATGTGGTGACCTTTTTAGTTGTAGGGTGATTTTATTTGCTTTCACCAGCCTACTTCCCTCTGTTTTAGAGGAAATAAGAAGGGAACCATTTGGACTGAATTGTGAATTGTGTGTTTTTATACATTGTGTCTTACGTTGCTCCCAATAGGAAAGGGGTGCCAACTTTAATTATATCGTGTGGGTGGCAAAGCTTTACAATGGTAATATATTGTTGTTTTAGACTGTTACATGATTATACTGTATAATGAACTGACTGTTTGACTTTGGATTCAATGTTGTTGAACACGTTTTCCTGGTTGGTCGTTGCCATTTTTTTGCAAGGCAACATAAATCTGATTCCTCCATGGGCGGACTGTTGGGTTTTTACGAGGCAGAAACTTTAAGCCTAGTCTCCTCACTGTTATTGAATGTAAAAGGTTATGCATCGCAACAAAAAGGAACATTTGAATTGTTTACTGATAATTTTTATAGAATGCAACTTGACTGAAAAACCTCTGGAAAAGTGTCCAAATCTGCAGCAAGGCAATACAATCTGCCAGGTGTGGGGTTAGAAATAAAGTGCCGATTGTAATGTCTGTCTGAGGCAAGTAATGATTGTGAGATATCGATGGTGTAAATGTACGAGGTAAAGGGTTTAGAGTCAGAGTAATGCCTCTTTATTTTCTGTGGCTAAAAGGTGGTCACTTCTGAGAGTTGGACTGCTTTGCTCTTAATGTATCCTGGCTGATCCTTTTTTGTATTTAAAATCATCTGTCAGTTGCACAGTGTGTAGAAAATAGCCTCACTGTGAGGTAGAAACTTGTGGTAGATGCTCTTACTTGCTAGGATTGTGTGAAATTGGATGATCTTAGCAGTGGGAATGGCACAAATGTACTCGTGTAATGAATTCTCAGTGCAAAGTGTACTAAAGCATGGAACAAGATTTAGAAAGTGAGAATGTCTCCCATCACATTTTTGTATGTGTTTGTCTTGCTGTAGTCAATATGAGACAAATGTGTCTGTAGTTCAATGACTAGACGCCACTTCATTGTGTCCTTGGCTCAGTGCAAAGCCACCTTAAATGTTTAAAGTTGAAGGCAAAGCTTTCAACTCATTTATAGTTCTACGGAGTGAAAACATTGCCTGGGTTCGGCTCAATATTACCTTTATTTGTCACAGATCTTGTTTGTATATGGAGTCTAAGGATGTTTTGGTTTGTTATGAAGGTCATTTTAACATCCTCTGATCATCTCTGTTGAAAGCTCTCCTGTGATGACTCAGAGGTGAAGGATGGTCTGATTGAGACCCTCTGAACATTTCAATATGTAATCTTTCTGGCGGCTATGGTAAATGTTTTGGCTATATAGTCGGGATTTTTTTTATTTTGTGATAAGTTTAATGGGCGTTTATCAAAGTATATGGTGCCTAGATGAAAATAGACTTTCTGTAAGGCATTGTTATAGTTTACTGCTGCTATGTGAGTGTATATGTGTTACGTAAATTGTAAAGTCGTACAACAAATGGGCAAAGATTTTCTAGCAGTGCTTAGCGGTCTCTTTATAAAATACACAGTACGCAGTACATGTGAGACTTGCAAAAATAGTATTTAGCAATAGTATTCACACTTTTTTCCTTACTCTAGTTAATGCTGGTTGATAGGAAATTAACTGTTGTGAAAAATACATTTACCTCTTTATTACTGATCCGTGAGCTGTGCTGGGCAGAGGCCTGTGATTGTACATGACTCTGCATTTGAATGCCTTGGCTTAAGGTTTCTCCCAAGTGCACACTCAGATGATCTGGGTTTACATAGGCCCAGTTGTGCCTGTCGTGTATTGTCATTATATTTGGGTCACGGAGCTACGCATCTGTGTTTCTTAAAAATATATTTGATGACGTTATTTCCAGAGTCCCAAAAGATTAGATAAAGGTTTGAAGGCATTTCTCAAATTCAAGTATTTTTTCCTTATCCACACAAATACGGCAGCTGCACATAGTGTATCCCCTTGCTTCATGTGTGAACGTGGACCAATATTCACATGTTTTTTTAGCTGTTACATTTTCTATATTAATGTTACTTTCTATTTTTTATATATAATATTGCATTTATTTGGCCGTGGCCCATATGCAACATCTTGTTTATTTAGAGCCCAAAGAGGTAAAGTCAGCAAAGAAAATCAAGGAAGGTGTGTCCCAATACTCCTTTATGACGATTTTTGAGTGTCAATTTTACATAGCACAACCAAACGATGACATATTCTGTTAGGAAAATAACCTTTTTATTGTACAAAAGTCGTTTTGTCCAGATTGATAAAGGCATCCTTCATTGATTTTGATCAGTGTTGTTGTGTTGTTAAATGACTTGATGGACTTATTATTATTACTTTTTTTCAAACAGATGTTTAGCTCTGTGTCTCAAATGTAATTGTAAGCAAAAAGGGCCCAACCAGAGGCTACTTGGACTCCAGCTCTGATTTGACATTGAAGCCAAACTGAACTGAGTTCAGTGTATATAGAACTAGTTTGATTTATTTACCTTGTCAGCAGCTAGTATGCACAGACAAAACGCCCAAACTCTACCCTCATTGCCACTACAGGCCAAGGCCTGATATAAGACTGTTACCTCGCTGAGTTTTGACTGCAAAGGACTGTTTACTTCAACTTATCAAGATAGTATTTACTCTATATTCGTACTGACTTTATTTTGTGATGCCGAGAATTGAAAAATTGAAATTGAAGAGCTCATGTTGGTACGGCTGAAGTGCTGTTTTGCCAGGAAAAAACAAAATATCAGTCCCTGTTAATTCAGGATTACTCAATGTTTGCCCCTGGGAAAGTGTTCTCCCCTTTTACCCCTGCAGCTACAAGACAGCAGGATTTTTAGAAGTATCTTTATGTGATTGTATGTGGATTAGTTCAGATAAATATTGCTACAACATGTGGTGTTCTTTGAGGGTATCCTTGTGCAATTCTACCTGCGGCTCTTCAGTGTATGCATGTGTGAGAGAGTTATCGTCGGCCGTGTTGTTGTGCTGTTTAAATCATCGTTGCTTATTATGAGGCCAAAGTCGATTGTTGCTGGTATTTGTTAACATGTCAATATAAATATCCAAACATGTTTATGTCATCATGAATATCAAGTTGATTTTGTATCTTGGTGTATAGCATAGAGATTTCTGATGCTTACTCTGATGTCAAATCAAAACTAGCAGATTCTCTCATATCTATTTGTTTGGTTGCACATGTCCTGGTGCTGGTTTCCCCCAGAAGGCGCAGTATTTAATTTCCTTCAATTTGAGGTTTTTCAATTGATGCTCATTGGGATTCTACCTTGTTGAACACAGAAATCTGCGTTACTTTATTCAGCAAAACTTTGGATTTTGTGTCAAAATAAAAGCTTCAAAATGCTACCAAATGCATGTCTGTGGTTTTTGTAAATATACACATCTCTAGTTGTAGTTGCCTGAGGTACAAGCTGTACTCTGCTTTGAAAAAAAGCAAATGCACTGAACTTATTTCACCAGGGAAGAGCTAAAAACACCCACTTATGAGTGGCTGTCCCTGTGACTCAGGATGAATCATCAAGCTGCACTTACATGGAAAAAAAATCCTCTTTTCAGGAGTAACTACAAGAACAAAAAGCGTTTAAAATGTGTGATCGTGTGTTGCAGGCAGCATTGTTTATCAGAGATGTCAAATGCAACATGCAGTGTGAGAACATCTGCAGTCCCTTGTTGCTAGACATAGTTGTAATATATGAAATACTGCCATATGCCTATACAAGACCGGTCTGTTTGCATTGCTCTTCTCCCCCTGATGAGATGAAGTCCAAAACCTTTGTGTCCCACTAGAAAAACTAGTTATTATTACCACGGCTGTATTACTAGGCAAAAACTGCCCAAACCATAGGGGAGCACATTTCATTCTGGGCACAAATGCTCCAGAATTAAATGTATATCATATTACATATTATTGGCCTGCTTTGCATGACCTTCATTTAGCAGTCTTAATCTTTCATGTTTTTATTCCCAAATGCATTTAACCACCACATGGGATACCAACTACAGTTGCAAAGAAAGTGTACAACAAGCCTACGTACAACAACCACATCCCAGCTTGGAAAAAAGGAGATGTACATATGAGAATAGTCAGTTAGATATAAAATACCTCATTGACGTGCCAAAACAAAAACTATAAAATATATATATATATATATATATATATATATATAAAGAACGATATGAGCTTAATGCAATAAAGACTTAAATGTTGCTCTTTGTCCTTGTAATAAGGTAATTCAGGTAAATAAGCATATGTTGTTATTGTGTACATTACAGTGGCCGTGTTTTTTCCTGCTCTGTGATTGGTCAGAGAGGACCAGCACCCACCCCCTTTTCTGACCACTCCCCATCCGCGTTGTGTTCACGTGACCCCCTCCTCTCTCTCTTGCAAAGTTAAAAACAGACTTTGTTTATCTTGCAGGTTGTTAGCTGAAATGCTCTCAGACTAGAACCTACTTCAAAGCCACGTTATTCTACTCTTCCCAGCCGTAAACGCTGAGAAGAGCACGAAAAGCTCTTTTTATTTCGCTGCCTTATCATTTCCTTGTAATTAATTCTCATTGTTTTTTTCTGATTTCTGCAGCTCACACCGTGTAACACGACACAAAAAGCGACCAGGCTTTCAGTTTTTGTTCTTCAGCACCTGCAATTTGTCGAAGACAGTTCTGTACTTAATATATTGTTCTGCAGACGTGAGGCTTGCTGTTTTTTTTTTAGAAGCTCCTCGTGAGGTTTTTTAATCAAGCATTTGGAGAGCGCCATGGCGACCGAAGTGGATACGTGGTCCTCCGCTCCTAAAGCCGATGGTGAGTAACTGAACCCGGGCTGGCTGTGTGTGGTTCATCGGTGCAAAGTGTCAACGAGCCACGATGGGCCTGCTGGCGTGCTCTGCCTAATCCATTGTCCTGCATGGGATGGGCTGCAACACCAGCCATACTCCACCATGTGCTCTGTTAAAACACACACACACACACACACACGCGCGCGCGCGTGCACGCACACACACACCGAGCACTGCTGGTGCAACAGTCACTGCACACTGACGCAGCTTTGTTTGATTCACGCTGCAAATAGACCCAAACGTTACCCTTTTTTTAAAATGGTGCTTTGTTACGGTGTTGTTGTTGAACTGCTTTTGCATTTAACCATTTCGCGTTTCTGATTGGACGAGGACACCATGCTTACTTCCGCTTTGACAAGTCGTTGTTTGCACACACCAGCGCTGCTGCTGAGTGCATTTTGAGATACCTGTTGTTTTTCTGCTGCTGTTTTTCTGCTGCATGTTTTTGACGTTAAAAGACTACATGCATGAGTAACACTTAGCTGTTTTGGTTCCTGATTTTAGTCTCCCCCTTGAGAGTATGAAATATATACGGTTCCTTAATCACCTACTTGTGTCAACACCTTTTGTGTTAGCCCGTTTTAGATTTAGACCCATTATCGGAGCTTACAACGATGCACGCCCCTTTCCTGCACGAACAGACATATTTTTACAAGGAAATGCTTAAAAAACACGACGTTTTATGGGTATAAAAAACAACAACATGAAGCACAATCTGAGCAGCAACGACAATTAACGAATAATGTCTCCACATTGTCTGAGTAATGTGTGATATCTTCTCAATAATCTTTGATATCTCACTTATGGTACACTGGGTCCCGTGGTTTTTTTCTCTCAGACTGGCGATGACGTAGACATGTAGTATAGCCTACCATAGGAGCCAATAGGAAATCCTTACATAATTCATCCCTTGCTGTGTATTTAAGGCTTACATAAGTAGTAGTATTGTTAGCACTGTAAGTTATGTGTGAGTGGTTTCACACATTAACAGAGGTGGGAAGTAACTAAGTACATTTACTCATGTACTGTACTTAAGTACAATTTCGAGATACTATTTTATGCTACTTTGTACTTTACCCCTCTACAATTCAGAGGTTAACGGTATACTTTTACTCCACTTCATACATTTATTTTGTACCTTTTATTTAATTAGATGCTTATGCTTTTTTTCTTTACTTGAGTAACATTTTTAATGCAGGACTTTTCCTACACTATCGGTACTTCTACTTTAACTCAAGTACAAGATCTGAGTACTTCTCACACCTCTGCACAATAATTCCTATATTTGTGTTGCACTCTCACACACATTCAAGGTTCCACGGAGGTAAATGGTTGCATGTGAGAAACCACACGGTTTGTTACTGGTGTGTTATGTTAGTGTGTGAGAAATCAGCCTGTGCTCCAGGGCACAGATGGGCTTTTCTGCATGAACTTGGTTGCCTTTTTCTCAAGGAAGGTCGGCCATGCTTGATTGAGCAGCCACTGTTGATGAGGTGGTCATGCAGACTGTCAAAGACTCTATTGTCTGTGCCGACACATTTGTGGGTCAATGAAGTTGCACAACAGTCTTTACCATGTTAACCTTTATAGCACAGTCTGATCCAACACGTATATTCCCAAATGATCGGTAATCCTGGTTTAGAATATGTCGGTTTTTTTCTCGTAAATTAGGGATTTTTTTAATATAAACAGATTATTGATAGTGCCCATCTCTCCATGAATACTTGCATTTATGAGAGTTGTGAGGTTTTGCCATAATGTGTCTTTGTACACTATGTGACTCTAACTTCTTGGGTAAATACTTGAGTAACAAGCATCCTATAGAAACCTACAGCCATACATGTCAGACCAGATTTCTTCCTGGCCTGCTGAGTAGATATTTAGTTGTTTAGTCTTACCCCTCTTTCAGTTCTGTACTTAATATATTGTTACCACCTCCTCTTTCCCCCACATACATTCATGAAAACATGTTTGCACACCATCCACTTGCACAAGATGTTCAGTTTTTAAGCTGAGAAAACAACTGGTGCAAAGTAGAGTTGTCCTGTGCAGATGTGATTGTCTGATTTAAAAAAAAAAAAAAAAAAAAGAAGCATGTAATTAGCCTCTTAACCGTTTATCTAAGTAGCTCTAATCTTTTATGCACCTCCCTGAGCATGCACTTTGTCTCTGTTGTTGCTTAGCAGTTACAGAGGGGGACTCAAAAAAGTACAGTCAGCAAAACAGCACAACTTTACATTAAATTTAGTTGTTAATTTTTCCCTTCCTGCATAAATATAACATTACCGTGTTATACGAGTAGCAACCCTTGTATTTGTTTTACTTTTGGAGCGTGTGTGGCACTTGCCCTGCTGTTGTCTATTTAAACATGAGTCACCTTGGCCCACAACGTTTACTGATGTCTCTAAAACATGTTTTTGTAAAATTCTTCCCCTTTCATTAAATGAAATGACCGTTAAACCCCAAAGACGTCCACACCCTTTCTCCCCTGATAGATAAACACACTAAAGGACATTATACAGTACGGCAGTTTTTTTTGTCCCCTATTTTGTTGTGCAGATAGTTGTTTGACCTTAGAATGTATTTTCTGAGCGTAGGTGGACAGAGGAACAATGTTTAAGTAGATTTTCGAAAACATAAAGCCTAGCAAACATGCGTTTTTAGTTTTTTGGTCAACCTTCTAACTATAAATAATAAACTATAAATAATAATAACTATAAATAATTTGTACTAAGTTCATACAAAATATATATATATATTGCGTAAACTGCTGGTGGTCACAAGTTACAATTCACAGAAATGAATACAAGTAGTGAGTCAGTTTAGTAGGCTTTAAGTTGCATTAGTTGCTGTCCTTTTCAAAATGTGTTCAGATCCTCTGATTTAGTTTAAAAAAAACTTTGATAACTTAGTTACAACTAAAAAACATAATTATAAAATCTGTAATTTCTGAATATGCAAATGCTCATTACAAAAATGTGCCTGCTGGGAACACTTTCCATAAATCATGCCTGTATGTATATGCCTAATGTAAACAAAAAACAACATTCCTCGTTGAGAGAGAAGTATGCACAGCCTTCTTGTGTTAAACCTTGAAAATGCATCATTCTGCGCATACTAGTATGACATGTTTTTGAGCAGGGGGGGTATAAATAGTGCAGAATTTGACAAGACTCTCCTAAATTGCAATACTTCATACTTATAGTTAAATTAACTCTCAGTGTACCTAGGACTGTTCATGGAGGAATTGTGCTCCACTGACCCTCTCATTCATGACCCCTGCTTCTCTATGGAGACCTAAAACTAACCTCATGGCTGTGGACAGCTTCTACTCAACATGTAGTGCAGAGGTCTTCAGCTGGCCTGCCTCCGCCTGGGTTTAGAAACTGGTTACATGTGGGGGTGGTTTTGAAAACCACCATGACAGCGTTGTGTGGTTTGGTATAATTTGGTTGTGCTCTGGGAGTCTTCAAGGCTTTAAGACAGCTGCGTTTGTTGCTGCAGCTTTATGAGAGACAGTATAGATTAAACCTTTACACCAGAACTTTTCTGAAGTCACAGAGTCACATGGTCTCTGCAGAGTTTAAAAATGCATTTAGCTCGTCTGCATTCTTTCCCCTTCTCGTTTAGCAACTCTTAGAAGACAGCTCTGACTTTTCTGCCTTCCTACTTTTCTGCTCTTTTCCAATTGGCTGGTTGTTAATTTGGTTCGTTGCCCTTGGTACGTTTCCAATTTAGTGCGCTGGCAGGCATTGTGGCAAACATGAGGGAAGAACAGGAGGAGGACATGACACATGGCCGGCTGTTTACAGTTTCTAAAGTCCAGGGTGTGGTGCTGCTCTTACTGCAACAGGTTAAGTAAAGGCATTAAAGGTCCTGCTTTGCACAAAGGTGCGTCCTTTCATTTGTTATTCAAACTCAACGAAAAACATTTAAGGTCATTTTGAAATGTTTCTTTTATAAAGAAGGTTGCAAGTTAATAGTTTTTTCCTTTGCCAAAAGTATTATAATTACCCAAGGTAAAACCATTTGGTACTTTTTGCCGAATACAGACAGCTTTTTTTAGGTAGTCAGTTTTACTTTGGCTCTGGAAATGTTCCTCCTCGTGTTTTATACATGACCTGTAATATATAGGGCCATAACTCTGCACAAGGACTGCAAGTATTCATTACACCCTCAGACATTCCTCCTCCTCCTGCTCTGTTTATGTACTACCGCCTGGTCATGTGACCAGCCGTGGCCCAAAACATGCCATATGTAGTCAGGTCCACTCTAGCAGCCGCGGACAGATCGCGAGAAGACAGAGTAGGAAAAAAGTCAAACGGCCATGTCAGCATTTCTCAGGCATGTGTTCCCGTTTGGTCCCTCCCTCCCCCCAGGCCTGCAGTAAAACTCCAGTCGCACATGTTGTTGTTGTCGTCCCATACCTAGTAGAGGCCATATTTTGTTATTATATACAATATTTTCATCAATACAGAATAGTATATAAAGTAACTTGATACTAAATATCACACCTACATTTTAACATCTGCTGCTAGGTCTTAAAAGACTGTATAAACGTATCTGCTGCTGATCCTCTGGTGTAATCTTTTGAGTGTTACATGACCTTTGGCTTGATACGCACAACATGGCCCTGATATATGGCGCTGGCTGTAGGGCACAAAGCTTTGGTGTTGCTGTGGTGTAAAGGTGTTGGTGCAGTTTTATTTTTTTACCTACAATAGCCATACACAAGAAAACATGTCTCACTATTGTCATGAGATAAGGATAAATACAGCAACAACATGCAGAACATAACTTTGTCTTTTTACAAAAATGGCAGAAATGTGTTGGTAGTAAGCATTAATGTTTGTAGCCAGCCTCAGATTTACAAAAGTGTTTGACAACATTTGTAAAACTATAGCATCTGAAATGTACACTATCCACTGTAATACGATTTAACATGCATACACCTGAATCCAAAAGAGTGTGACCTACAGTGATTTGCTCCATTCAGTCACAAGAGCATTAATGAGGTCTGAGACCTACAATAACTTCTGTAACAATGTGCACTGTGACATTGTCTCGGTAAAGGCTTCCCCAAACTGTTACTATTGTGTCCAGATCATTTACACAAGATGGTCTACTTAACTACCCAATAATGTTATTATGGCAGTAGAATGACAACGTTGTTTGCTTTGGTGTTATCGTCTCGTTTGGCAAAATATAAACCATATAAACCCTTTTCTGACCACAGGGGTTTTCTCTTTCGAAGACAACCTGGCCCAGGCGAACTGTCCCTACACGGTTGACGATGAGTTGCTGAATGAGGCGGAGGTGAACGAGAACTGGACCCCTCAGGAGAAAGCGCTCCACGAGGCGCGACTTAAAGCCAAAGCCAAGCGCCGCCTGCGCAAGTCATCCCGCAACTCCACCAGCGAGTCCTTCTCCGAATCGGGAGAAACTTCAGGAGGTGACCCTAACAGTCCGAAGGGCAAAATCATCGTCAGCGACCGCAAATCCAGGGCCGGCAAAGGAAGAGGGCTGCCAAAAAAAGGTACATTTGAGCTACACTCACAGCCATGTTATAGTAGCATAGAAGAGGCGTTGTGTTATATATATATATATATATATATATATATATATAAATAAACTTTATAGAGCAGCGCTTAAGACAGGTGCTCCCCTTTTTCTTGTAAAAACAAAACATGTACAGAATTTTAGTGTAAATAAACCGCGGACCGGTTATATAACCTAAAGTCCTAAACCAAACGACAGACAATAGAATATTTGTTTTCACATGTGCTGATTGTTGACAGTAGCAATAATGTTGGTTGGAAAACTGTTGCATGATCCACTTTTCATTCCCTGCAGCCAATGGCTTTATCATTTAATCATAATGCTGAGCATGTGTTTATGGTTTGTGTCTACAGGTGGGGCAGGAGGTAAAGGAGTGTGGGGGGCCGCAGGGATGGTTTATGAAGACGAGGAGCCTGATATGCGAGACCCAAACTACGATGAGTCTTCTCAGGTAAGCGAGTACAGCAGATCTGGATTTTTCATCAAATGAATGTTAAAGGGTTTTAGACTCTCACACAAAGCTTGATTTCTGTGCTTTTTTTAATTTGCATTTTGTTGATTTTAAATATTTGTTTTTCTTTGCGGGGGCATTGTATGTCTTTAGAGACATGTATGGCAGTAGAGAGATGACAGGAAATGAGAAGAAGGGAGATGGGAAATGAAAAATGATGCAGGCAGGACTTGTGCCCCAGGTTTTGTGCTTATAACATAACAAATTGTCATTACACATTATTTCCACTTAGCTATCTGCGAGTAAATACAATACTTACATTTATCAACGATTTAAAGGAGGGCTGAAACCAGTCGGATTTCTTTCTATCATTGATTCAAATTGCAATCTTTAAAATGTTCAATCTAAAAACATTGGCCACAGATTCTTGACAATTTTACCTGGAAAAACGACTAAGATAAAGGGAAATGTGTTTGACGTTGATCCAAAATGTTTCCTTTACCTGACTGTCAGCAGTCTGTACACACACTCTCTCATCTGTTTTTGCTGCTGATGAAAGAGCAGAGGATAGTTTATCTCAGTTGTTGATGGGCTGACCTGTTGTGCCGAGCAGCTTTTTGTTCCAAAGAGGCCCGGTGATCAGAGCCGACACCTTTTTATTTCTTGTGTCAAACAAACATGCTGATGTTGAGGAGCTGCTGCTCAAACACGCTGAATATAAAAGAGGCTTTGCTCTGCAAACAAGATAATGAGTGTACACTCTCATAAAACATGCTCTCTTGCATCTCTAATGAGTTACACAATGCATCGATCACTTGGATGGCATAAGATCAAAGAGTATGAATCAATTGGGAGATGCGACTCTACATTAGAGTCTATATGATTTGGCCAATACTTTTTTTAAACACACAGGATTGTTTCATCCAGGTGGCTCCATTGCTTCACAATCAACATTATTTTTAATCTTTAACCCTGTTTTCGACCAAATGCTCTGTGTAATGCTGAAGGCTGAGTTAGTTTGCCCCAGGCTCAGGTCACACTGGCTTCATTCAGGGTGGGATCCGAGCTTCTGTCAGAAAAAAAAAATGATAACAGTTTTGGGAACAGCCCAGTAAAGCCTGTTTGATTTGGCTTTGAACGTAGTAGGAGGGCTGTGGAAAGAAAGTGATTTTTAAAAAGGGAACGGGGACGGAGTTGATTTGCAGACGGTGCCCTTTGAACCAGACTGAGGGGGTCACCTGATGGATTTCTCGACTCACAGGTCATCCTGTACGTAGGAAAAGGCCCAACAAAATGTATTAAGAATAAAATCGGGCAATGGAGCGGAAACTAAAGCATGCCACCTTTCCTCTTCTTTGATTATGCCTTAAAGTATCAGGCCTCCATGTTGAAGATGTGTAAAATACAGGTTCAGTTTTGCCTGTACTTGACCGTAAACTATTGTTTTGATTCTCTCACATCCCCTTCTACAGTCCACATTGTTTATAGGCAACAGCTTATAAAACCGGAAAGTGAATCAGCATTTTGGACATTTAGCTACAATCCTTCTTTTCTTGTTCTATAAACTTGGTCTTATCAGTACAGGTCAAAACAATCCTGTGATTAGTTTTTATGGTCAAGTTTGACAGGACAAATCAGAGCCAGCTTAAATAAAAAATGTGTTTTTCTAGTTTTATTATAATTTGTAGGCTTTTGTTGTTGTTGTTGTTGAATGTATTCAATCAATGCTAATCTCATTATTTTATCAATGTTTCATTGTTCTTCCTATTAAAAGAAACATAACCTGAAAGGGAGGTTGGATGGGTTTTGACACTAATGCAAACAGTTGAGATGAAAGAGGCTTATGTTATATCACCACCTCGAGATAGCATGGGGACAGAAAGCACTATCTAACTATTTAATGGTTGTTGGTATAGATTTTTTTAGACTCGCATGAAAACTTGCAATGAAACCTTGATAGTGTACATTTAACATACCTGTTATTTTGGATAACTGACGGCTTGTAATACTGAATGTACATCCACTTTGTTGTGCATACATGTGTGCACGGATGGACTGATATGTTTATACTTCCACAGGGGGACACAGTTTACGCGACAGTTGTTCCAGAAATAGATGAGAAGGAACTGGAGAAAATGGTGAACCCGATTGTACAGGAGTACTTTGAACACGGAGACACGAAAGAGGTCCAGGTAAATATTTTCAAATGAAGCATTTCCTCTTCCTCTCACTGCTGACCACCAGTGAGCAGGTTTGGACGGATTAACCCAATAATGTAGAGCATATATAGAAAGATTACATCAGTACTGATCAGAGACTATATGGTTCTGCGACTACATTACATTTTAACTTATTCAAACTTCATTCATTGACAATTTACCTTAATGTTAAGTTAATATTAAGCTGTCTTTAGCTCTGTTGTTGCTGTAACAAATGCAAATTTCCCCTCTGTGGGACGAATAAAGGGATTCTGATTTTGTTATTTGTCCTCTCTCTATCAGATGTTGCTGAAGGGGCTCAACCTGGGCTCACATAAGTACGAGTTTTCCTCCCTGGCCGTGTCCCTGTCCCTGGAGGGCAAAGCCAGCCACAGAGAGCTGACCTCCCGCCTGCTGTCCGATCTGTCAGGCAAGATGCTGTCACAAAGTGAAATGGCCCGTGCCTTCGACAAGATCCTCAAAGAGCTGCCAGACCTCATACTGGACACACCAGAGGCTCCACAGGTAGGTGTTTATATTGTGTCATAGTGCTGTAACAAAACATATGTCATGTGGAGTTGCATTCTGATGTTTTTTTCTTTAATATCTCTCAGATGTTAGGGCAGTTTGTAGCAAGAGCCATAGCAGACCACGTCCTCCCCATGTCTTTCCTGGACTTTTACAAGGGCAAAGTGGACTGCGAGCATGCCAGGTGAGACGAGATGGCAAAACAACAAATTCAAGATACAGTCCTTTTAAAGAAATCCACCTTTTATGCGACAGTTCTAAAATGTGTCATATCTTCCTCCTCTGTGTTGGGAAAGGTTTTTACTTTTCATTTTTGAAGAGGAACACGCAACACGTCTTCCTTTTCACTTAATGACTGAATGTACTTACTGAAAGCCCATTTAAGTGCAAGAAATATATTATGGTGTTGTTTTTTCTCCCCAGAGTGGCTTTAGACCGTGCCGAAGTGCTGCTGACCATGAAGAGGGAGATGGTTCGTTTAGATAATGTGTGGGGCGTTGGTGGAGGCCTGAGACCTGTGAAGCATCTCGTCAGAGAGGTAAGATCATTTTAAAAAACAAAACAATAAACTGATGAGTCACCTTCTCATTTCCATATGTATTGACACGTTTTGCTTCTTTATTGACATTACATAAGGTAAACAGAAGGCAGAAATGCATGCTGGGTAGAGAGCCACAGGCCAACCCTCTGCTATTTTTCATTGTCAACAGAGCACTTTTCTCCCATGAGAATTTGGTATTGGCACAGGAGGGGCAAACACAAAATCACACCCTAGCCTTTAACGGATACTAACCGGAATTGCTGGAATGATTTATGCTAATGTGGGTGTGTGTCGTGTCGTGTTTATTGTCTTCATATTTTGTAATTTATGCATTTTAGGGATTCAGTGCTTGTTAAGCAATTGCATTTTCGTCAATGTTTTCTCAGTCACCCTGCATTGTGTAAGCCTCAGAGGTGCAGGCTTCCAGTGTTGACCTCCTGCCTGGTGGTGTGTAGCCTCAGGGCGACACACTGGACTGCAGGAAGCAAACTGATTATTTTGCCTGCTCTTCTTACTTTATTTCGGATTCCCTCTCATTGTTGGGCTATGACTTGCATTCTTCTTTTTGTCTTTTCAACTTCTACGTCCTTTCCTCTGTCAGAGCCCTGTATGTCCACATTACATAAATGTCTTTGTTATTACCAGATGTTCGGACAACCACACATTCCCAACGCTCAGTGAATTAGACCCAATTACACAACTGTCGGTGTAGCTTTGAGGGTTTTGAACTTGTTGCTCCCCTCAAGGCGAATGACTAATTGTTCCAAAAATAGGTTTTAAGCGAAATGGTTGGTGCATGTGCAGATCAGTAAACGTTATATAACAAATGAACACTTAAAAATAAAGCAGAGACTGAACCGTTTATGCACACCACTAAACACGAAGAAATGTTTTCCAGATATATCAGACATGTGTGCAGAGTTTTATTTCCTAAGGAAGTCAGGTTATTGCTCTAATAATCCCCCCCACATATTGTGAATTGAGGAAATACTTTTGAGCAACGGGTAGATCTTATTGAGCTCTCTTCAGCTTTGTCTTTTTTTCAGTCCCGTGAATAAAACATATATTTAAAGATTTTATGTTAACTTTTACAACTACTGTAGTATCACAATATCTTGGGTGTGTTGAAACAAAGTCTTGCACTAGATAAAGACGAGGTCCGTGTAACTGAACGTGGGATATTTAGCATAATTTCAACAGACTTATTCCATCAATTATCATGCCTCAATCACCACCCTCGCTCTGATTTTTGTCTTAATAAAGAAGTAAAGAAACAAACTTTTGCAGTCCATTCTGTTGTATCCTCATGGAAAGATTCCAAAGGATATTTATTGCCACAAAAACCTCAATAACAAAGTTGTATTTGTGTGTCTTGTTTCCAGATGAACCTCCTTCTGAAGGAGTACCTGGTATCAGGAGACGTTTCGGAGGCGGAGCACTGTCTGCGGGATCTGGAGGTCCCACACTTCCACCATGAACTGGTCTATGAGGTATTGAAGCCTTTGTTATATGCAGAGATGGGGTCGTTACTAAAAAAATGTAATATATATATTACATATTACTTTAAAAAAAGTAATATGTAATATATTACATATTACATATTACTTTAAAAAAAAAGTAATATATTACACTACTTTGTTACTATCTACATAAAGTAACTCGTTACTTTACTCGTTACTTTACTCGCCGAGCACGTACGAACTGCGCATGCGTGAGTGGCAATAACTCTCCTTACCAGCAGGCGGCGGTAGTGTGTATTTATCATTCAAAACAGGCAACAACCGGAAGACAGAGAAGAAGAACAGACTACGTGATATAAACAAACAACAAATACCGTGTGTGTTAGCTTCACCTTAGCATGTGTTCTTTGCAGGTGTGTGTTGAGGTTTGACGTGGTGTTTACAGCAGTGGATAACAGCTTCTGGCCTGGACACAGTTTGCACCTCACCGTCACATTCCTGTCTATTCTTCCGACGAACTCAAAATAATGGGCATACCTCCACCCCTCGAAAGTTATCGCTGACTCAGCCATGCAGCACTGCACGTGGAGATGTGGACGCGCAAGTCGCGCAGATTACGTTATAAACCTGTGGCGGAAACCCCTCTTGTCTGTCAGTGTGATGATTATGACTGATTAATTTAGTAAGTAACGAAGTAACGCGTGTCGGGGCAATGTTAGTAACTGTAGTGTGATTACTGAATTATAAAAGTAGCGCGTTACACTACCCCGTTACCGACAAAAGTAATATTATTACAGTAATGCGTTACACCCAGAGATGGGGTCGTTACTTAAAAAAAAGTTACATATTACTTTAAAAAAAAAGTAATATATTACACTACTTCGTTACTCTCTACATAAAGTAACTCGTTACTTTACTCGCAGGGCCGGCCTGCCCCTCCCTGCAGGCAGATCACGCAGACTGCTAAAGTTTCAAATGTTCTCTTTAGTTCAGTTTCCATTGTCGCATTAGACTGATCCAGATAGCTCCTGAATGTTCTTCCTATCTGACCGTGGCTGTCCTCTGTCTCCTGCTATCTGTATATTTTGCGTAGTCTAGTCTATCTCTGCTCACGCTGTTGCGTCGGCGTGTTCTCCTGCGTGTTGGCCATGTGTTGAACTGGAACCAGACTGGAGCACAACGCAAAGACTTCAGCCGAGCACGTACGAACTGCGCATGCGTGAGTGGCAATAACTCTCCTTACCAGCAGGCGGCGGTAGTGTGTATTTATCATTCAAAACAGGCAACAACCGGAAGACAGAGAAGAAGCACAGACTACGTGATATAAACAAACAACAAATAGCTGTGCGTTAGCTTCACCAGCATGTGTTCTTTGCAGGTGTTTGTTGAGGTGTGATTATGACTGATTTGAGTAAGTAACGAAGTAACGCGTGTCGGGGCAATGTTAGTAACTGTAGTGTGATTACTGAATTATAAAAGTAGCGCGTTACACTACTCCGTTACCGACAAAGTAATATTATTACAGTAACGCGTTACTCCCAACTCTGGTTACACCCAACTCTGGTTATATGTCATGGAAAACCCTACACGCTTTCTCACATATTCATCAAGAAAACAGTCAAACAAAAGCAATAGAATAAAACACTTGAATGCAGAAGCTGAATTAAATATGTAAAAGACACATTTAAAGGGGACCTATCATGCAAAATGCACTTTTGTACATCTTTTATACATGAATATGTGTCCCCGGTGTGTCAGGGAACTCACCAAGTGTCAGAAAACACAACCCTCTCTCTTTTCCTCCATACCCAAATCTCTAAAAACGGGGCTGCAACGGATCTGATACAGACTGATCCAGATTTGAAATTGTTCTGACGTCAGAAACAAGAAGCTCCGCCTATATGGGCAACTCTCCACCTATCAGGGGAATGAGAGGTTGCGTGGCATGGTAACAGCATGGTAACAGCATGGTAACAGCATGGTAACAGCATGGTAACATGACGCTCGTGCCTCGCCCCCTTCCTTTGCAGGGGGGCGTGGTCAGCTGCAGCTCATTTGCCACAGAATCAGCCCTTGCAAAACAGGACTGGAATAGAGCAAATAGAGCGAAATGAGGCATGGCTAAAATGCATGATCTGTTTGGTATTTTGAAAAAAAAACAACTTCACAGACATGTTTTATATAGGTATGGCCCTACAATATATTATTCAAATATAGCATGATAGGTCCACTTTAAACTAAGTGTTTTGCACACAGAATGAGTAAGACTTGCAGGTATAAATAACATTTTCAGAGATATGTCAAACATGTCAGACAGCCAAGTGAATTGAATTGGAAAGGAAAACTAGTAAGTGGTTGGTGACTGTCCTCACCGCTCTCTGCCAAGGACAGCGTGTGTCTGGCAGTGACAATCTCTCATTTGCAATTTATGCATCAACAGCTCAGTCCAAATAAATCTTAAATTAAAAGGCACTTTGCATTACATGGAACTGTCTATCCTCCGTGCTAATTTCTCTGATTATGTTCAGGGTGTAGCTGAGTGAACATGTTTACTCTGTGACATCTGTTTTTGTAATAAAAAAACAGGTGATCAAGAATTGGTTACCAAATGTTTGATCAGGATTAGTTGTGGACACAATGTACTGTACCTTAGTGCTGTTTGTTTTTTAAGGTGCAGCACATTCATAAAGGATTCACTCAGCTGGAGTTGTTTTAGCTTATCAGATTTATAGTATCTAGAAATAACTACAAATTAAAATGTTTTTTTTTTCCATATTAAAGGTGGGGTAGGTAAGTTTGAGAAACCGGCTCGAGATACACTTTTTGTTATATTCCATGGAATGCTCTTAACATCCCAATAGCAATGAATATCTTAAGTGCTTTGACAAAAAATCCATAAAAAAATGTCATCTGTGGAAGCTGTAGTACTGTAAAAAGCACGACCAATCATCTGAGCCGGCCCGGCTAAAATAACCGGATGGCCTACCTGCCTGTCAGCCTTCCATCTGTGCACAAACGTATCTCGTGCCCTCATTGGTCATGTGCGTGTTCGTGTGTGTTGGAGGAGGGGCTCTGTAAGGAAGTAGCAGATTTCTTCCGGCTGTGTATTTTCAAATTCTAGCGCACTCGAGCTGGTTTCTCCAAAATGACCTACCCCACCTTTAAGTAATGAAATTATAGCCCCTTCTCCTTATGTTTTTAAATGATGTTAAACACTGCCACCCTGTGGAGAACTCTGCAGCTCGCTGTGATGTTAAACATAAATAAAGAAATAATTGCAACACTTCTCTTTTTTTTAAACGTTAGGTGTTGTATTCTCTTTTTTTAGGTTGTGGTTATGGTGCTGGAGTCGAAAGGAGACACTGCCAGTCACATGATGATAAAGCTGCTGCAGTCCTTCTGGAAAACGGGGCTCATCACTGTGGATCAGATGAACAGGGTCAGTGACATTTTTAATGTTCTAGTATCAAAAGTTATAAATATAATTGTGCATTAAACACATGAGTTAAACAATTTCTATGCTGTTCTCCATGTAGGGTTTCCACCGTGTCTATGACGAGCTCCCAGAAATCAACCTCGATGTGCCGCATGCTCACTCCATCATGGAGACCTTTGTGGACCTCTGCTTCAAGGAGGGTGTGATCACCAAAAAGCTGCAGGAAGCCTGCCCTGCCAGGTAAACTGGTCTTGAATCAGCACCTCAAGTTTTTGTCTTCATATCTCAAAACTAAAAAAAGTCCTAATGGCTGTTGTTATTTTATAGTTTAACCAACAAATCCTCAGAAAAGGCCAAAATCGTTTGCTTGTCTCTGCATGTCATGTTTTGCAAACCCGCCCACACTCACAAAGATCAGCAAGACAGCGACCTGCTCTGTTATTAAGCACAAAAGGTGCTTCATAGTCACTCGTTAAGTGCTTTATTTTGACCATGGTTTCAGCTCTCTAATGTTGAATAAAAAATAAAACCGGAGAAAAGTCTCTTTCACTGGCTGCACTCAATGACGAAGTCCAGGACATTCTGTGCAATCGGTGCCTAATTTCCACAATTTAAAAAATCCTGGTGGCTGATTTATATAAGAATACTGCTCAATAATGTCTATTTCTGATTCCTCCTGAAAAATAAAACTTTTTTTCTTAACCTGCTGCTTGCTCTCCTTTGGTTAATTTGTACCTTTCAACTGTATCCTGGTATTTATATAATGGTATTTATATCTGTTGCACAACTTTCCCAATAAATAATTTTCAAAAACAGCTGATAACTGTAGTATTAAGTATTACTTCATCCAGTACAACGGTGTAGCTCATTGATGTCTATAGTTTTTGATAAAACAATGGAGCTCTATGCCAAAGACAAAAAGACTCACCAGGCTTTCACAACTGAGACAGAACTTGTTGTAAGGATCGATTCAATTTGGTTGTATTACTGGGTTGGTTGACGATAAAAAGACTAGCTTTTTTAACCTTTTAAATAATTTGTTATTTTAGTTTATTAAGAAGTATTAAGGTGCATACTGAATTTACACTAAACATGTTTCTCAATCTGTATTTTCACCACCAGGGGACGGAAGCGCTTTGTCAGTGAAGGAGATGGTGGAGTGATCAAGAGCTAATTCACAGGAGAAAGAGCCGCAGGAGGAGGGAGAGGAGGGGTGTCTACAGGTCCTCACCCAGTTTCCTCTCCAGCTTCAACATGTTTCCCCTGTGATATCGGGGCGTGCTGGCAGTCTAAAGTTTCCTTGTTCCTCTCCTGATAATGTTGTCATTACACAAACCAGCATTGATGTTTGGTGTAAGTAGACGGAAAATTTGCCCAGGCGATCGGTTCCATTCATCTTGTTGATCACTGTTTGTGACATTTTTTTGTAAGAAAATTCTTTATTTTTGGGGTCGATGCGCCCCCCTTGCCTCAGTCTTTGTACCTGTTTGTCAAGAATAACTAGAGTCAGAGCTGCAGAAAGACGAGTAGACGGGCTGGGGTGTGTGGGAGATGAATCTGGGTGTTTTGTCTGTTGCTTCGCTAAATGTTGAGCGCTATCGAAACAAATTACTTAAAAGACAGAGCATACTCAACATTCAGAGCGCTTAGTAATTTGGCTCAACAACAGGATCAAAACCGCTTCATTTTCTGCCACAAATTATTAGAAATTATTTCAAGGACAACATACTTACTACCTTCTGGTACAAGTGATTTCTATTGATCTTTTATGAAAGGGGTTTTTTTTTGTTCAGTTTTCTTTTTATTGCATCTTGGTCCTCTGAGACCAAATGTTAACTTTATTTGACACTGGTTGGTTGGTTGGGTAATTGAAACTTGCTTTGGGCAAATATACGTTGCTCTTTTTCTGGAAGAAAAACAAATATTGGGGTTAATGTATGCAAATAAAACCAAATTAAGCATGCAATATTTTGAGCAATCGAGCAATTTTCAGTTAATAAATCTACAGCTCAACATGTAGAGAATCAGGAAGTTGACTTTAAACTGGGTTACCTGTCTAATTTGTCTGTAAAATGGCCACCTCAGCTTTGATAAGCATATTCATTTATGCATATTCATTTATGCACTGGTTGTTTTTCATGTTGACGAAAGTAAAAAATGTGTGTGTATATATATAATTCATTAAAAGCAACAAAAAATAGTTTTCTGTATTTATTTTTGGTCATGCCCGCAGTATTGATTCAAAGTAACCAGGGGTGGTTTATTGTGCAAGTGTAGTAGAGATGTACATCAATCACATTTGTTGATCATTCAACAGTTGTGATCATAGTTGTATGTTTCCACTTGTCTTTCAACAATATATCTTCTATCTTTCTCATTTCCCATCTTTCTTTATGAATACTGGTCGGAGCAGGTGTAGACATTTTAATTTAAACCTGTAACTGAGAAGCAGTTTGAGGCCAAAGCTTTAATTTTTTTGTTTTCTCTCTGACTTTTGACCCCGTCCATGGTACATCTAAGATACCCCATGTCTCATGGCAAAGCTTTATAAATTATAAAGCTTACAGTGTAAATAAGTGGTTGAGGGAAATTATGTTAACTGGTTCATATTTTGGAAACTGGTGTTATTTGCAGGACATTCATGCATGCATGCAGCTGTCCACTCAAATAGACTATAATGTTTATGTGTTGTATTCCTACATCACATTTGTACTCTTCACTTATTTTGGAACGGCAACATGTTTAAAACACTCCCCTAAACATTAACTTCCATTTCTATATTTCAATAAAACTACATATTTCCCTCCACAGTGTCATATTTGCATTTTTTCCTACTAAACTAATAGTTTTTTTTAACAAATATTTAATTTGAAATATAAAACTTTATTTTTCTTTTATTTCTTATTCATTTAAGGACATTTTTATTAATAATAATAATAATACATGAGACTATAGCGCTTTTCAGGAAACTCAACGACGCTTGACAGAATTAAAAAAAAGTATTATTACTTTATAATACCCCTGATGTTAACAAAATATATGATGTTCAATATGTTCTTGAATAAAAAAGGGAAAAATAAATATATATATATATATATCCCCTAACATATCATGTTTCCGATATATATATATATATATATATATATATATTTTTTTATATATATATTTATATATTTATAGGTCTGTAGACTAACGCCTACCTTAAACGGAAGTAGAAGAAGAAACAAAGTACACGTCAGTGGGAACGAGTAGTAACCAGGAAGTGGCTAGTAAGCTAGCAACGGATAATGAGCAGCTGAGACTTTGGTATTTTGACAGGTTAGTAATCATTTGCTCAATGAACATTAACCTAGAAGTACTTATTGGTTGCATATTTACTAGCTTCTGACTGATTAATGCCACATTAGATAGCGATAGCCGGTCGGTTTTGCTAAAAAATGATATAACGTTAGCACTACTAGCGAGTATCGTGCAGCAGGAAGCGCTGCATAACCGGGGCATAGTGGAGAGATACAGCGGAATCTGTCAGGAGAAGAGCAGGTGTATGTCCGGGCTTCTGTGCCATGTGTCTTACATTTAACAGGCAGAGTTTAAGTATAACATGCTCGCTGTACTTGCACCATTTTTGCCATCACACACCATGCAACGGTACCATAAGAGTTAACGTAAGCTAGCTAAACCGCTTATTTTAGCCTTGGAAGACGTTAACTAAATGCTATCGCAATTATTATACAATACTGTAATGTACTCTAGTAATGGTTAATATGTCCCATTGCTTTAGTGGACGAAACACTGAACTCCTTTGTGAGTGTATGTGGTAATGCTTAGAATAATGTTGCCTTAAATAACAGTCATTCAATAAATCCTACATCCATTTGTTTGAATATTTAGATTATTTCCTTATCATTGGCCCCCCCTTTCAGTGTTTGTCGAAAGAATATTGAAATAAATGATCGGTATACTCAATACAATTGATCAGCACGACACAAACTGCAGCCTCTCTAATACAGTTTAAACAAAATACAAAACATTAAAGGGCAGGATTTGTTTCAGGACTCGATTACACTGCATGTGTTAAGCTAGGTGTACCGTTTAACTAGCAACTAAACATAGCTATAGTTTACAGTGCAGACAGAAAAGCTGTTCAATTTCTTTTGTAATGCACCTGCAAAATGCCTGAATGCCTTATCTGTTTTTGTTGCACTGCTTTTTTGTCACAACCAATTTGTATGTATTTAGTTTATGTCTAACTTGGCTAGACCTTTGTCTATTTAAACATGTTGGTTTAATCAGCTATTCTCTTTCATATTAATATATATTTTTAAAAGAGAAATCTGAGTTTTCCTTTTTATCTTAATGGTGCAACTTCTCCATAACCAGTGTATTTATTTAGTTTTGTTTACAATAGGACTACCATTCTTGGTCTAAAAGCAATATTTAAATATTCATGAACATGTCATTGGTACAAAGCAAATACTTATAAATGCAAATATCTTCCCTTTGTCTCCAGCTTCAGCAGGGCAGGATGGGCAGGCAGAGGAAAAGGGTGGTGACCGGTGAAGCTGCTCCACCTCCAAGGATAGATGAGAAGCCCACTGCATTTCCCCGTAAAGAGAAGAAAAAGAAAGTTGATATTGGCAAAGTCTTCATCAACATCTCCATTGGCCTCTGCATATTCAGCCTGATCTGGTTCTTTTACGCGCTTTACATGCGGTCCAGTCTGTCCAAACGGGTAATAACGCTGCACCCGTCGCACCCTGTCCTGGACGCCAACAGCAGCAGTGCCAAAGTCTCCACGGAGAGGTTCTGGGGCTCGTACAGGCCTCAGGTCTACTTTGGCATGAAAACCAGGAGTCCCAGGTCCATAATTACAGGTGAGAGACATGTCGTATATCATATGCAAATGTGTCCATGTTTGGATCATGTTTGCTATGATGACAAAACGAGTTAAGCCCCACAATAATGAGTTGAAAACCACAAAGAGAGCTTTTTAACCTCTTAAACCTTACTGATTCTGTGCAATACAGTAAGCTTTATTTAAAATGTTTACATCATCTTACTTCAATTAATTAGAACCCAATTTGAAATGTATACAATGATGTCATAGGGTGAAATAAGGTGATTCAATCAAATCTTCAATGTTAAATTGCACTAGATCTGGGAAATAAGCCCAGGCACTTGTCAAATTCAAGAACATTTTGGACATAGTTCCTGGGACTGTTTACCTGTTTACCCTGTCAGCCAATTTGGAAGACCAATGTTGTTTATTAGTTGACAGCACAATGTGAACTGTATTTTCCGATGTTGAGTACCAACAGTTAATCAAGCACCACTGTTCTCAAAACCCTGTTGGCCAGTAACATGGTGCATGCAGCCAGTGAGTTTTGAGACTGAATCCTTTTCCAAATGTTGTATTTGTGCATCTTCTGTGTTGTAAACCACAACCAAATAACTGAACTTTCACTGCTACATCTCCCCAGGTATGATGTGGATGCGTCAGTTTTCTGACATGGACGTAAACCTGAGGCACACTTGTGAGCAAGGGGATCGTTTGCAAGGCTATGGCTGGATGATGCATGATGGGATCACTTTTGGGGTCCAAGAAATCCGAGACAACGATTTCACACTCACCACAGAGTTTGTCAAGAGGATGGGTGGGGGTCACGGAGGAGACTGGACCTGGAGGATCACCGCCAAACAGCATGTGAGTGTGATTGTTTGTTCAGCTTTATGAGCAGATATTACCTCACATGACCCACACATATTTTACTATGTGTTTAAAATATACCATCCAGTTGCAGATATGTCTTACGATGAATGTTTTTTTATTCAAGTTTTGATCATTTTTGTTTTGTCTTTGCCCACCAGAGCTCGGCTCCTCAAGCGCCAGTCATCTCCCTGATGTTTTACGCAGCAGCAGACACCCAGGGCTCACTGGAGGCTCACGTTGAGGATAGAAGCCGCCTCGCATCCATCACTGGTTTCTCAGAGGAGCTTGGAAACTTTAAGATCTCCTTCCGAAAGCCAGTTACGGGGGAATCATCCAGTGCCAAATATGCAAGGTAAGTGTTTGATTACAGGAGTAGGTGTTAAAATGAGCTCAGCTCCAAAAGAGCGTGATGATGGAAAAGGAAGCTGAAGTGTGCATGCTATAGAATGACTGCCAGTGCTCAGTTTGATCAGAATTAAAGATATGGAGAACAGAAAATTACTTAATATTTTTCCAAAAAATAACATACTTTTCTTTTTATGTGCTGATCCAAATAGTGAAATGATCAAACAGTGAGGGGTTTGAAAAGCCATGTGTTAATAAATCATTTATACAAAAGTAAGAAGACATCGTCATATTGCATTAACAGGCAATGGCCATTTCAACTGCATTTCAGGAAAAGAATGATGCATACAAAAGGAAAAAATAGGTGATTTTAAAGTGTGATGAATTACAAAATCTTATTTAGGTGTATATAAAACAACACATTTGAATGTCCCTGATTTGTTGATGTCTGTGGGACAGAATCGCTCATCGGGATGCTACATGGTAGTAATCATGTTGTTCTCTGGGTGAACCTACATTACTACTTGGGTAAAAACAAAAAACAACCACTAGATGGCAGGAAAAGCAGAGATTTTCAAAAACCAACTGAAGGTATTAGGTTTTCTTAATTCTAAAAGTCTTATGAGCATCCTGAGATACAATACAGCAGAAAGTATATCATATACAGAGGAAAATGAGCCTTTATGGCTCGTTCTGGCACATTTACATCGTGGACTCAAGTGCTCATGTTGATTAATGTGCATTTCCCTTCTTAAATAAACGATATATATATATATATATATATATATATATCCCTTGAAAAGCTTAAAAGAAACCGAGCCTTTCAAAAAGGGCTCTAGTCTTCTTCTGAACGGCACAGATGTCGTTTAGTGAAGGTGTTTATCTACCTTCAGAAGGAACTGTTGTTTCAGTATTTTTTTGATTCTCTGCTGGCAACACCTCCAGGGACCGACAATATTTCACACTTTGATGAGGGCCAGAAGAGACCAGCGTAGAAAATGAAAAGGTACAGTATGCACTGATAGAAAAAGATTGAGCAGTGGCTAAAGAAGATGGGTCATTTAAGTGGGAGCTTAATATTGGTTTACTGTCATTCTTACAATTGACTTAACCTCACCACTACAATATGAGACCCTCACGACTTA